TTATTTCAGTTTAATTATTAAAATATAATATAAATATAATTAAATTAACCAGTTAATATATCTGTATGCATAATTATATTTTTTTTTTTTTTTTTTTTTGTCTTTTTAATATTATAATTGCCTGTAAAATATTTAATATACACATTTAGTTTAATATTTTTTTGACAATTATTTCAGTTTAATTATTAAAATATAATATAAATATAATTAAATTAACCAGTTAATATATCTGTATGCATAATTATATTTTAAATTTATATATCTTTAACTTTATATTAAAAAATAATAATTTTTAATAAATATTTTATACAATATATTAAACCAAAATATATACCAATTGGCATCCTTAATATTATCATCTCCACCATTGCTTTAAGATTCTTTTTTATTTTAAATGGGAAGAAGGGTGTTCCAAGCGAAGCACAAATCTTGAATTTAATTCTTTTTAATACAATTTCCTTTTCTTTTTCCTTTTTATATTTATTGTCCAAAACTTGTAAAGGTAGAGATTCTTTGTTCTTCCTTATCTTTGGACGAATTCAATTCCATCAGAGTAATAATTATATATCCATATATGGCAGAATTTTCCAGGGTGCCACACTTATTTAAATTAAGCATCCATATCAGATGGAGGCACAATAGTCATCGGTTGGAGCTTATTGAATAGGAAGAAGGCGTGATTGGTGTGAATCATGCTAAAAAATGACAAAACACAATATTTCATTATATATGGGTAAGAACATGTAGAGAATCTTTTTTTGTAATTATATGAAAAAATTGTCTCTCCATCATTTTCCTTTCATCATTTCTCAAGCTACGTGGATTATTTTGACAAGATTTTTATTGTGTCAAGGTGTCCTTTGATCCATATCAACATTCACAAGGAATAGGATTAAGTGAAGGAAAATAACAGATGATGTGAGGTCATATACATTGGGCTATTAATGATGAGGGTAAATTTATATCTTTAAAGGATTTGAGGTTAATTTGCATCATTCAAAAGGTTTAAGGATTTATTTGCACATTTTTAATTCAGTAGCTCACGTGTTAAAATAGGATATAAGTCAAGGGCTTAAGAGGGGGTTTGCCAAATTTAGACTCTATGCCTCACACTCATGGGTTTGGTTATTGCACAAGGCCTTTTGTTAAGACCATACAAATTATATAAAAAGTGTATTTGATTTAATTGAATTTAACAATCTATAGTTGCTTTAAAAAATAGTTAGTTGTACTATTTAAAAATATCAATTTATATGTTAATTTCAATATGCTAATAAATATCAATTATTTTTGCAATTAACAAAAAATTGTGTGGCCTTAACAAATAATTATGTGGTAATATGTCCGTTGCGTATCTACATACTATACTCTTCATTCATTTTTAGTAATATTAATCTGACTTTTTAACTTTTTAAACGTGAATTTTATATGAAAATTTAATAATTTGTATAAATAACAATTGAAAATTTTATTTGATTAAAAAAATTTTCAATTATTATTTATGTAATATGTTAAATTTTCATCTAAAATTCATGTTCAAAAAGTTAAAAAATAAAACTAAGACTATTAAAAATAAATAGAGGGAATATTAATTATTTTCTATAATTGGAAAAGTAGGTTCATTATTCTGTTTTATCTTTTGACGAATTCAATTCCATCACATTAGTAATATCTATCCATATATGGCAGAATCTTTTTTCTGGAAAGCAGCCTAACGCCCTCATTCAAAGCATCCATTATGGTCTCTTTTTTTTTTTTTTTTTGTTTTCTTTTATCAGCAAAGCATCCATTATGTATAATTTCTACGTGCGAATCTTGTAGAAAGACCCTATGCCAAAAAGGCCTTTGTGCTTCAAATTTGTCAGTTATTTGTTTCTTGAGAGTTTTAACCATCAATAAAGATGTCAATAAAAGTACAAGTCATCGTCCAAACTCCAACCCATAAAAATTACAACGTTATGCTCATCTGAAAAAATATAAACTGATAAAATGGATGAGTGCATGACAGGCCAAAGAATGATTTTATTCAATATATGATGTCATACAAGTACAAGAGTAGTAAAGTGGTTCTATGTGCTATTTAACATGATGTGACATTAAAGAATGAGATATGCTTATTAATTCACATACTATTTTTAAATTAAAAAAGTTAATTATAATATGCCTTGTATTGTACAAACAATTGTAAACATTGTTCATCTATATATTATTTTTGTTCATCAATGTCTATATCTTAAAGTTATTGTCAAAGAATCTGGTGCTTGTTTCCATTAATGCAAAGATATTCTAAATTTTTAATACATTATCTTGTCTTCCTACGCCTATGTAAGGACCAGAGTTGATTGGCAAAACTCATCAGAGAGAACGAAGCTAATAATCAAATTACTTGATTGTAAGTCTTTAATTAAGTGAAGAAAAATGTCAACTCCGGCAGCTGCAACGATGGTGTTCAGGCTTGTGGCAACGGTGTCAATAACAACGGAGCCAATAACATCGGCACTGGCTCTGGGAGCCAAAACCATGGCCAAGGCTCCGGATCTAACCACGTCAGTGGTGGAATGTGGAACGTGCGTTGCCCAAGCTTTGCTGGCTGCCCTATGAACGTCGGTCCTGATGCTGGAGCTTGGAATATGGGGTCTGCATCTGGAAGTGTCAACCAATTCAATGAACAAGCCAATCTTTCACCAGGGTATAAAACCTCCTTATTGTTAAGGGTTGTAAGTGCATCTGCCAAAATATAGCAGCAGACCCACTGAAGGAATAACGTACATAAGTTATTATGATGCTAAATATCAATAAAGTTTGCTGCTTTGCTATATTTTGAAAGTATGTTGTAGTGAAATGGACTACTAGACTAATAAAGTAAAAATTAGTGCAAGCTGCTAGGCCAATGCCGCACACAACACAAGCATGCATCACAACTAGTAGACCAGAAATTCATTTGGAATTCTTTTTTGGCCGGATCATCTGAAATCTTTTTAAGGTTTTGGCCAACAATACACAATATAGAAGGAAACTGAAACCAATCACTAAAAGGAAACATCACATGCACTCTCACTACTA